GCCTGATTTACTCAATAATTACTCCTTTATTATAAATAATAGAAAAAAATGGTTCAGGACTTTTCGACTCAGTTTTACTCCTTCTACCTGCCTACGAGAGATTGTACGGCAATTCTGGGACACCCTGTATATACATATATACACATATATACATATATATACATATATACACTATAGATAGTGATTATGCGCTTGTAGGAGGATCGTATCGTGTTCGTGCTTTCCTGAGAACTGGGCAAATCAAATTCCGTGCGATCTCTTGCCATCCCTACACGGGAGATGCGGTCTCGTAATAGCGGAGCCGGAGTGACAAAATCCGTTTCTCGACTCCGAGGATGTGAGTTACCGCATAATCTCTTTGTGCGTGAACACACCGGCTCGATCGCAGATGCTAGGAGCTGCGTAACGTTAAACGTAAGAGATGCCTATGTAACACGTACGATGAGAACGTTGAATGTCAAATTGTCACTTAACTTCTGCGAAAGTTAATTTTTTTTTTTTTTTTTTTTAAGATAAAGATTGCTCTTACGCGCGCGAGAGATAGGGTATTGTGAATAACCAGTTGGAAAGTATCGTTTCTACAGGAAATATAATCCTACCACTATCTACAGAATGTGTAGAGTTCTTCTTGTATGTACTTCCTGTATTTAACATCAGCTACAATGTTGTAGCTTGATAGATAAGGTAAATGCATCGCAGAAGATATTAAAATATAATAAAAAAAAGTTAATGTTATATATATACATATATGTATACATATGTAGATATAATTAGAATATGTGAAAACACACACATACACGTATAAATAACAAGAGAAAACTAAACTTGACTTTCCAGTTACATTCTATGTAGGACTAAGTATTTTTAGATTCGAACTTTACTTAATTCAATTACGAAATCGTTTTTAGTCTCCCTGAAAATGGGAGGAAAATTAGATAATTAATTTTAATAACCAAACGAAAGTTTGCGCGAACAGTTACGTGACGATGTATCCGAGTATAAATTCCTTCGGAACAACGTCGAATTAAACAGGTAGCAAATAGTTCATCCAGGTACATTAAGATACCGCTTGACTTGCACCGCACGCGCGCGCGCGCGCGGAAAAGTGATAAATTGTCCTCGCGTGCGAAATTACGGACCGTTAGGAGGGACGTCCCGGAACGATATCGTTCCCCTAAGCGAAGTGACGATAAGTCAACGTGAAATATCGTCTTGGCTCGCTCGGATCACTGACCGTCCCGGACGGACGAACGGAATCCTGCATTTATCATCTTCGAGCCTGCCGACTGTTACTTCGGACCCTCTTACGCCAACGTATAAGTGAAAGTCAGCAAGTAGGACGCGCGACGGGTCCAATCTCGATGTCGACGACGTCTGGATGTTTGCCAGAGACACGGAACCACCACGGTATCACAGACAGACGTTGGCCGTCCACCGAAATTAATTTGATATAGCGACGTTAAAACTGAGAGTTTCTTTTGCGAGAACAAAATTCTTTCAAAATTATTATTACAGGTATCCCACGTCGTCTGTCTCTCTGGCGCAACGCGCTCGTCCCGATTTTTTTTTCTCTCCCGAGCGATCGGATTCGAAGGCTGGCTTCGAAGAGGGTCAGGAAGAACGATAGAAAATCGCCGCCGCGCGGCTTTGATGATCGGTATATATCTGGAACGCGATTGCGCAAGTGCGAACATGAGAACGCTCCGCATCGTTTTTTTGCAGAGCACTTTTGCAACTTTGCGGGGAAGAAGGCTTTACTCTCAGGTCATCTAGTTCAATTGCTCCACTGGATCTGCCTTTCGCAACGGCGAAACATGACTTATACACAATCTCCTGTAATTTCTCGCGAATGAGCGGGATTACTTCAGATCTCTTGCCAGCTTCGACGTCGCATGCGCCTAAGAAAAAATGTTTCACGTAATATTTAGGTCAGAACATCCGTCGTACGTTGACGCAAGATTCGTCCGAATCAACATCTTGCAATATAGGTATGCGCGCCTCATAAGTTCCTTATTTAAGATACAACAAAGTCCTTTTTATGTGCAAAACATTTCTCACAATGTATGGAAAGCAAATATTGTGCATTTGTGGAAGTGCAAATGTTTTTTTGTGTCTTTTAGACGTATAATATTGCGTTTATGCAGAAATATATAAGAGAGAAAGAATAAATAATACGAAAGGAAACACTGAAAAAATTGTATTCTTGTTTTGAGGATATCCCACTTACTTTAAGTATATTTTATACTAAAATAGGCGCCAAGACAGAAGAGTTTCTTATTTTAAGAGAAAAATCCTCTAAATAGTAATATCGATAAGAATATATACTGATTAGAATATAAAAAGCCTCTATAGAAAAACATATATATATCTCACTATAAAAAAAAAAAAACTATATTCTTAAATAAAGAATATATTCTTAATTTCAGAAGAATATCATCTAAAATCTTGAAGAAGATTTTTTAAGTATAAAATCTTCTACTTATAAGAATATAATTTTTTCGGTGAAGGGACAAGTAACGAGAAATTCTGCGTTTTTGCTTTTCTGTAAAAATTAGATTGCCTTATACTTATTTGGAAAATTAATTTAGCATCATATACAACGCATTTGCGCACGATCTGAAATGCACGGTCGTGAACATGTGGGTGGGCGCAGCTGTTGTATTCCGAAAGAAGCAAGGCTCGCGTAGAAAAGTCAAAAACTCTAGAGAATGTTAATGATAATATAATTGCAGGCCCCTCCCCCGCTTTAATTATATTCGTTCATCAAACCGTGTGATCGTGTCTAGGTGCGTCTGGTCTAAAACAACAATCAAGTTATTCCGCGGTTTTGCAACAACGTTCGGGTCGAATCGACATCGTCCTTTTCTCGCTTGGACAAGGATCATTGAATAAATATCGGAAATGCCAATCGCTCGCCTCGAGGAAGTCGCTGTTTAGCGAAAGTAATCATGCCTCTACGCTGGCATTAAAGACCTGCCGCGGCTCTTTCACCGAATAGTTCTCTCGCAATGTGTCGGATCGGGAGAAGAAAGAAAGGTGAGATTTCGGTTTCGATGGGCCTTGGAGGTCGCGGAAAAGTGAGAGAGACACGGCACCTTGCTATAATCGTTCCCTCCACGGCCAATTACTCGGGCCAGGCGGATTTGAAGAAAGTCATTCGTTGCGAGGAAGATACGTGGCTTTGCGCAGCTTGTCGCATCCCATCTCTTTCATTTTTTTTTTTTTTTTTTACTACAATCTTCAGCCACGTGTGTGTTCAATGGTCACACACGGATGCGAAAACACCAATAAGACGAGCGCGCATCCACAAACTCTCTGGAGAAAGGTGCTTCATGTATTCAATATTAGAGAGGAGCTTCTTGAGGAGCGGCGAGCCACCGCCGGCTGTGGTGGTGGTGGTGGTGGTACCGGGTAGGGAGAAACGGGCCTCTGGGCCCGATCCGTCTTCAGTTTCCATGCGAGGCTCCGCTTGGTATATCGGTCCGGGCACGTCCGATCGTTTCTCTCGAGCGGTGGTCATGTCGCGAGTTAGCCACGTCTAACTGCGAGAACCCGGCCGGTGAGAAAAGTGATTGTGTGAACTTCCCCGGGCGGACACACGAGGAAGAAACCGAGGAAGAAAGACGGACAATCGCAACATGCGGTTTACCAAGCTGGTAATTATTACCCTCTGGTGCATCCGCAAAGGGGGCGGATGAAACCGCTTAGACGGAGGCGCTTGTACTTTCATCGTAATAAGCGTGTCGCGTACTACCCGAGCGAGAGAATCCTCACGGCGCTATCATTTGTAATCAGCGAGCGTATCGGCGAAAGTGCACTAATAAAGTGCGGCGGATGCGACCGACGATGTGGCACCCGATAACGATCGTTTTAATTGTCGAGATCGGTATTTTGTTTTTACTTTGATTTGCTTGACAGTCCTCGAGGCTTGAACTTCGCGAAAAAAAAAACAACCGCTTATTCGGGGGCCTCATTCGAATATGTGAACAGTTGTCGAGAGAGGCAGTGAATTCTCGAGGTGAAACGCGCGCGATGCCAGGTCTTAAATTTTGATTCTCTCTTTCTCTTTCACCCACTTTTGATGTTGATCGCCAAAAATTAATCAGACATGTTGGAAACAATTTTATTAAGATAAAAATATATTTATGTCAATTGCTTCGTTTGATCCAAGCAATATAATTATTTCAAATCCTTCAACTTTTTTATTAAAAAAAAAAAAAAAAAAAAAAAAACTGTGTAAATCAACTAATATAAGTCACCTAATTTTGTTATCTTTGTACGAACTATCTAATTACTTTCTTATTTAAATAATAACATTAAGAATGTGTTTAATTTTTCCAAGACTTTTCCACGCATCAATGGAACGTCTATTTCTAGTCGAAGGTTGGGAATCAAACAATTTCAAAGAAATGAGAATTGTCGCCAAAAGTCGGCCTCGCCATGTCGAGAGCTCAATCACAACTGGGAATTGCTTATCAGGCTAACTGTTTCGCGATTCTTGTTGGAATACCAATTGATCTAATGTCTGTTAAGGCTTTGGATGTGATTTTCTGATTATTTTAAACAGGTTACTCGGTTATCAGAGCGTATGTTATGAGCTCTTTGTATTTATATTTTCACTTAGTATGCTAATCAACTTGAAAACGGTGATATCATCGATCACTTAACTTATGTTAAACGATGCGTGCTACTTCTCAGAAGTTTAGATTTTTTATGATAAAGATAACTTTATCAAACTTTTGTGCGAAACATTTTATTTTAATTCTTCTAACTTAGACTCGTGATATTATCTACATAAATTTTTGTTTTATTCAGCAAATATATATTAGGTCTATCGGAAAGTTCTGTTCGTTTTTGAAATAAAACAAAATACGAAGTTTTCTTAATTTTTCAAAAATGGGATATACAAATTGCCCTCACGCCGGCAAGAAATCATTAATAATAATGGCAATTATATTATTTAATAAAGTTATATTATTAAATAAAATATATTATTAAATATATATTATAAATATATTATTAAATATATATTATTAAAATATATTATTAAATAAAGTATTATATATATATTATAAGTATTATAGTAGTAGTTATATTATTTAATAAAGTTTATTGACGGTAAGAAAAATTTGTATTTTGTTTTATTCCAAAAACGGACGGAACTTTCCGGTAGACCTAATATATGTGTAAAAAAAAACTATTTTGTCGGTGTGCCGATCTTTCCAGACATTCTTAGCAGCGACGCTGCTCGTCGCCGCGATTCTCGCCAAGGAGGACGGCTCGTCATCAAAGAACCGTGATAAGCGTCAGCAATTGGCTTATCACCTGCGAAAGAGCGGACGTTTACCGCCGTATGCGGTGCAGATGGAACCGATAGTGCAATATTCTCAGAGAGATCCGCTGTATAATCCATTGGCCAGTTCAAAGAGTGACGATCTATACGAAGAGACTCCGTTGAGTTACTATCCGCAAGAGCCCGAGCCGATTATCGAGATTATCATCAAGGAATCCAACGAGTCTCTTCCAACTCCGGTACCACCACCGCTTTCTTCTTCACCACGACCCAAGGAACCTATTCAGGTGTTCTATGTGAAGTACGAGAAGAAGAAAGTCTATGGCGACAAAACGCGCGTTGTATACGATCCGCCGATTCCCGCACTGACGCCAGTCGAGGAACACGAAGAGATCAAACCTGATAATCCGACGTCCTATACGGAAGAATCAATACAACCGGCGACACCAGCACCTCCTCCAGAACCGTCGACGACCTTACGCGCCATTATTCGACCCGACAGCGAGGTGTATCATTCTGGCAGCAGCGGCATCCGCGTGACTTTCGGCACTGAACAGCTGTCACCTAACAGTCACAACAAGCGCAGTGGTGGTCTAGACAAGCCCGACAGCGGAGATGCGCAAGAGCAACAGCAACAACACAACAGCAAACCAACAGCGTCACCGGGAGCGCCAAAGAGACAGCATGGTCCGTATCAACCGTTAAATCAGCCGCCATTGCATTCGCCACGAGTACCGCCCGCGTTTCCGCAGCAGCGCATAATTAACTCGTTCCCGCCTCAACCGCAGTTTTTGCAGCAGCAGCAGCAACAACACCAACCGCCGCACCATCAAGCACCATTTCAGCAAGCGTTGAGAAATCCGTCACCGACGCCATCGAGAGCGCAGCAGCGGCATCCTATAACGATCCAAGGTCTTCCGGAAGTGCACCAACGCGCGCCTTTCAACTTCGGTCCGCCGCCGCATCGCGTCAGTATCAATCATCCGCAACAACCGGGATTTCCGTCCACTTTGTCATCAGTGTCGCATCAGAATGTAAATCTACAAAATCAACCGCTGCCCTTGCCACAAGGCAATTTTGCGGAACCGCCTCCGCAGCAACCGTTGTCCATCAGACCAAATAATTTCAACGGACCGGAGCTTCCGCCGCAGCAGTCGCTGCCTCCGTTCAAGCAACAGGAATTGGAGAAGCAACGATATCACGAGCAACGACGACAACAGGAGTTGCTTAAACAACGCGAACACCAACGTCAACACGAGCAACATCAGCGATTCTTAGAACAACAGAGACAGATCGAGCAACAGAGATTGTTGGAACAGCAAAGACAGCAGGAACGTCAGAGACAACAAGAGCATCAACGTCTGCAGGAACAGCAGCGGCTGCAGGAGCAACAACGACTGGAACAAGAGCGATTGCAGGAGCTGCAGCGCGTGCAGGAACAACGTAGACGGAAACAAGAGCAGGAGCAAAAGTTTCTTCAGGAACAGCAACGGTATCAGGCACAGCTCAAATACAATCAGGAGCAACTTCAACACAATCAAGCGCAGCTTCAGCAGCCACAAGTATCGCTGCAAAAACCAGCGGGTGAAATATTTAAGGCCGTTCCAAAACTGGAGCAGCATTACGCGATCAGAGAGAATCCTCTTCATCCTGGTCCGTTCCCACCGAATCCCGCGTTGTTGCAACCGACTGCGTTCCCTGAAATTTCCCAGAACCAGTTCGCCTCCGCACAGCCGTCTAATATTCTTCACGATTCGCTTAATTCACCACCAAATCGTTTTATTTCCGGCGAAACTTTGCAACAACAACATCAGCAATTAAACGCAAAGCATCAGTCTTATCAGAATCAACAGAACTTTTTCTCGCAGACGAACTCTCAACAACATCGACCCTTGAGCACTTCTTCTCAGTATCAATCGATATGGGGAAATCGGCCAACGTTCCAAAACAATCCCACACAAAAGATTTACGCTACACCGGTTAGTCCGTCCGAGGAATCTAACCCGCCATTTAGTTCAACCGCTAAGACATTTTTGTCGACAACGCCGACAACGGTTGTCACGACTACAACCACGACCACAACAACGACCACCGAAGCGCCAACCACGACGACGCTCTCTCCCAACAAAGTAGCTAAGATTCAGGAGAACATCGCCAATTTGCCGGACGAGGTGCCGGATGACATCAGGGAGCAGCTGTTGAGCTCCGGTATTTTGGGCAACGCCGACATTCAGATCCTCGACTACGACAAAATCGGCGACATACCGATCGACAAACTGCCACCGGAGGCTCTAGCAAATTTCTATGGCGCCGGAGGCGATGCGGCAATTGCCGCCGGCAGCGCGCCCGTGCCGGCCATCGCCAAGAGGCCGCCAACGAAGACGACGCAGCTGAAGAAGACGACGGTGACCAACAACGGTGCCGCCGGCAGTGTGACCAAGTTTGAGCAGGCCACTTTGCGGCCCGGCGGTGTCGAGATGAAAGTAGTACACTTCGATCCGAATACGGAGCAAGGCCGAGCCGTGGCGGAGCAGCACATACGGGATGACGCGACTCGACTTGAGCCGGTGGCCGTGGGAGTGCGCGACGACGCCGCGCAATACAATCGTTACCTGCCGCTCAAGGTGAGCGGCGCGTCCTTCCCGATACCGGACGTGCCGGAGCTCAACGGCCGTAGGATCACAAGCGTTGTGGTGCTGGCGCCCGTCGACTACAACTTTCCCGACGCGGAGAAAGAAATCGCGGCAGAATCACAGCGGCAGGGCAGGAAGGCCGGGGGCGACGCGCAGCCGATAAAGTTTCTCGCCGGCGACACCCTCAAGCAGCTCGTGAAGAAACCATCCGCGGAAAACTACAAGAAATGGCTCGAGCAGGAGAGCCGCACCGAACCGCAGAGACAGTCCGTCGTGCTCTTGGTGACCATGTGAGTATATATCCGAGAGATCGTCTTTACGAACGCTTTTTTTTTTCATCTACTTTTCAAACATGTTATCAGATTAATATAGTGCTTTTATGTGTATGGAGACTAAATAATTACTATATATAATTGTTAAAATACAACTTTTTGTGTTCTTTTTAACTTACGTGCGCTCACAAGCTCATATAAATATTTCCTCCTTATTTATTTATTTATTTATTTATTTAGGTATTTTCATTCTTTATATATGCATATTTCTTCTTTTTTATAGTTTCCTCAATGTGTTTATAATTATCTGCGTGAGATTACACATTAAATCTAACTAAATTCTTTAATTTATCCAATGAGTAAAGGACCAATATATATTTATATTTAAATATATATGTATATATTTAAATAAAAGTTACGCTTCGACTCTAAATTGAGTCATCTTCAGACAGAATGCCTGTAAATTTAAATAAATTACATACACACTAATACCCGTGTCAAAGCTCATATTGGCTCTTTACTCATTGGATTTTGTTTGTTAAACATTTGAGCTTTCATTACTACTCTTTAATTTATATCTTTTTTTATATTATGCTAATTTATATATATTTATTTTTTATTTTTATATATATTTCTATATATTTTTGTTTTTAAATTTGGCTTCTGTATTCTTGCATTACATATCAACTGACTGTTTACTCTTTTAGCTTATTCACAACGTAGCATAATCGGTTTCTCTGCTGCATACCTAATCAATATTATTACTTATTTGTTTCCTCACGTCCTCTCGAAAGTTTTTAAGGAATTCGCGACTGCTTGTGCTTTCACTCGGATTCACTTCGCTACGACATTTCAGGCTGAGAAACGACGACGGTCAGAATGACAAGGAAATCTTCATGTACGACGTGACCTCCGGATCCGTCAGCAAACTTGCTGGCGATCTCTCAACAGCCTTCGTAGACGCTGCCGAAAGCAACTCCGACGGCACTGACTCTTTTGAAGATTCCACGTTCTAAAGAATATTAAAGTTGTCTTGAAACAAAAAAATTTATCCGCAAAAATAATGTTTAAAACTCGTTTGAAGTTAAATTAAATTATTGAAATTTATTTACATTTCTCACAATTGTGTGCATTAATTTTTTTCTTTATGAGAGATTTTTGTAATTTTATTACACATCTATAATTCCGTTATAAGTAAAAGTACTTATAATCAGTTGCATTAACGGATAATACTAAAATATTTTTCTTCGTCAAAGTTGATTAAAAATTAAATATTTTTAAGTTTTCTCTTGATATTCGAATTATTGTACGATAAAAGAAAAGGAACGCATTGTTTTAGATCCAGACTGTGTACGCGGTCTTAATGTATGATAAATACAATTTTGATATAGCAAATGTGTGCTGCAAACAAACTACACATATGAAAATGAATTGATTTTATAACAATTTGAGTTATATATAAATATATATGTGTGTGTGTGTGTGTGTGTGGCAAAAATTAGAGCGCAATAACAATTAGAAAGAAGAGGGTAAGGATTTTAGCCTGAGATAATCCGGTAAAAAATTTTTTACATATACTTATACACAAATTAAAAATAATTACATCTAATTTATGCAAATTTATATGCCGAATATGTCCGTACAATTTTATACACGGAGAATTTTTTTTTTCAAGAGAATCGCTTCGGAGAATATTCCATATCAAATTACAAGATAACTCTATTAGCATCATGTTAGATACAAAAAATTAGATAAAACTATATTTTTACTATATTTAAAAAAAAAAAAAAGTTTTGATATATAATCATATATACTTATACACACACAAATTAAAATTATTATATTTAATTATGAAAAATTTATATATACCGAATATGTCTGTACAATTTTATACGTGAAAAATTTTTTACCGGGAAAGAGAATTGCAACATAGCAAAGTACTTATATAAATATATTCTTGTAGATATATATATCTTATAATTTTATTATATATGATTATGTATATATAAGATTAAAAAACATTTTGTACTTTTTTATAGAAAATAAAACGCAGTCTCTTGAAAAACACTCAACATTTATTTCGTATTAGTTTCTATATATGATTGCAAAAAAAAAAGTCAACTTTGCGTGTAATTAATTAACGAACCTCGTTTTGCGTAAGTTTTTTTTTCACTGTCTTTTTTCATTTATTTCAGCGAGGTCGATAAAAATACGTATTTTGACTTTCGGAATCGTACAACGCGTAATTTAATGACATTTGTTGATCTTTATTATTAGTATTATTTATTACATATACGCCGCTAATCCGTTTTCACTGCTCATGCGCGAGAGAAACTTTGGCTTGGCCGCGATCGCGCAAACTCGCGTCGATCTGCTCCTGTACTCTGTACCGTTCGCTTCGTGTACTCTGGCTTTCCCACGTTTCCTTGATGTGTGTTGCCGTTAATAAGTTCATAATATAAATCAATTGTCGTTCAATTTGTGTAAGTGCAAACAACCTTGAAACGACTGATTTCATCGACAAGCAATAGCAATAAAGGTACGCATTCACAGAACATTTTTAAACAGTCTCGGAATCGTTGCGAACATAACCTCTAATCTTCGTTGTCTATGTTTTTGCTGTAACCGATTGAATTGGACTTTAACTCCATTGATTTTATGTGATTTTGTGTGTGTGTAAATCTTTGCGTTTATTTTTTTTTAATATGTTTATTAAAATTCTGACAGGATGTCACGATCAAGTCACAGCAATAAAGCGGATCGACGAGACACGTACCGAGGCAATAAGGAAGATAGACACGAAAGAAACAACGACTCTCACAGAGAGAGATTGCAAGGAGAGAAAAGCAGAGACAGAGATAACAGAAGCAACAGGCGCGATTACTCCAGAAGAGACGACGAGAAGCAAAACGATAAGAAAAGGCACGAGAGATCACCTCCTCCCAGAAGAGATAATAGTCATTTTAGACACCGAGATAAAAATGAAAGGAGCAGAAGTAGAGATAGAAAAGATGATTCTGGAAGAAGACGCGGTGATTATCAATATAGACAGAAGAAAAGTCCCGAAGAAGTAAAAGTAAAAAGAGAACCGTCACCTGTGTGGGGCAAATCGAATGTTGACAATGAGAATAAATTAAAGCAGCAAGAAAAAGAAAAACCCAACTTTGAGCTGTCGGGCAAATTGACAGAAGATCAGAATACCGTCAATGGAGTGGTCATTAAGTACTCTGAGCCGCAAGATGCCAGGAAGCCTAAACGCAGATGGAGATTATATCCTTTCAAAGGAGAAAAAGCATTACCTACGTTGTATATTCATCGGCAATCAGCTTATCTCATGGGCAGAGATAGAAAAGTTGCAGATATACCCTTAGATCATCCTTCTTGCTCTAAACAACATGCTGTTTTGCAGTATCGACTGGTATCTTATAAAAAAGAAGGAGGTGGCGAGGGTAGAAGAATACGACCATATATCATAGACTTGGAATCTGCAAATGGTACATTTGTAAATAATGTTAAATTAGAACCGAGAAGATTTCACGAGTTGTTAGAAAAAGATGTGATAAAGTTTGGATTCAGCAGTAGAGAATATGTTCTATTACATGAACACAGCAAAGATGATTCTTTGGACGATGATGTACCTCTTACAAATGAAACAACATAACCTTTCTAAGTAAGCAATTTTGTTATCTAAAATTGTATTATACATTTTTTAAGATATATATATATACACACACACACACACACAATCTTTATATAAAAGGTATTCTCTTTTTAAATTTTAGAAACTTTCTAATGCAACAAGATGTCTACTGATAAAAATTCATAAAGATATTTGCTGTTAATAGAAAAAAAAAAACACACTCTCATCTAATCAATCATTCGTTATTATTAGTTGCACTTTTAAATCTTATTTTGTCAAATCATAGTAGTCTTTCTTTATAAGCGTGTCTATGAAGTTGTAGGAGTAGATTTATAGCTGGTTTCTAGTTCGTGTTGATAAAAATATATATATAAAGGAAAACTTAATTCAGAATTAACTTATAAAAAGAGACTACTGTACTTTGTATTGCTCTATACAAAATAAATTCAAATATGTTCTAATTGCCCGAACAATATTATAAACATTCATATATTGTATATACACACAATTTCTATTTTATTAAACTTAAGAGTGATACATATTGGTATTTTGACAATTTAAGGTAAAAAAAAAAAAAAAAAACCATAAATAATTAAAAATCTAATGGAATTAAACACGTAGATAAAGGAGACGCTCGAAGAAATTTGTAAATAATGTAAAAAGTAGTAGTATATAAGTACACATACTTATCTATAAAATTGTTCAATAAATATATATTATTTGTAAGAGTAAGATATTTGAAGTCAAAATAAGTTAAACCTAAAGTGTAATCATGCCCTTGTTATTCTATCAACATGTGTGTTTTTCTCTTATCATCAGCTAATAGTTTCGCGATAATTTTTGAAATCGCAAGATCATGTTTTATTAAAATATGTTACACATAACACATTTGTCATACATACACATATATACATACACGCACGCGTAATAGATATACAAATACATATGTACATAAGTATTTACACATACATTTTTAACATAATTGTCTTAAAACGATCGCGATCTGCCATAGTCCGCATAACAAAACAATTTACGATTATGAGTTTTACACAAAATTGGCAGTATAACGACATTTGCACCTCACTGTTGTCTCGTATAAAATGCTTGTGATAATAACATTTATAAATAGAGAGTTCGTCTTGACTCGATCAATTTAATAACACTTTATAAGTTAAAAAATATAAAAAGTAAAAAAACGTTGAGCAAAACATGTAAACATATAATTCGATTATACTGTTATACCTTAACTACACAAGTATTAATCGAATGTAAACAGTATCCTAACGTAGCTATTACAATAATCTACTCTGTTTTTTGTATGTATATATAATATACACTTATATGTTATATACATATATTATATATTATATG